TTTGTCTTTTTTAGGTAAACTAATATAGGGCTCGAATAACTGATTCACTCTCAATGGCTCATTTTCCACTAGCACTTCTAACTTTAAATTAGTTAATTGTAAGTAGTCATATTCTAAGTCATCGTCTTGTTCAAGTGGCACCATTATAAAACCGAACACCTTATTGTTACACACATTCAAGCTAACACCTGATTTATTTGCGGATAGTGCAAAAACAATAATGTCATCGACTGGCCCATCGTAGTTAGGTACTTTTCCGGGATCATAAGTGAGATGGTCCGATTCTTCTTTCATTAAGTTTATTAAAACAGAAGAGTGTACCATTGGGACAATGAAACAGCCCTCCTTTTGACGATAGAGTATTGGTTCATAGTCGTCTGATCGATTGTAATAGTAATCACTGCTCATTGCCGCCCAGAAATTCGAATATAATCCCACCGATTTTAAAACTGGCGAAACCACAGTGAGGTCTTTCGAAATTAGAGAGTTTAAAACATCCGGATCAATTAAGAATGCATCAGCGTCGATCATCTACAAATGTAGTCTGTATTGAGAGTTGAGACTGGAAAGCTTACAAGTATATAATTGGCCCACACATTTCGAGCGTAGTTTAACGCTTCTTCTCTCATTGACATGACATGTTTAAAGCGTGAGGTGGACCAATGTGCGAATCCCGTTTCGTCATCGAATCTCTTGTCTTCGGAAAATTTGGTGTTAACCGAATGATACTGTTCGTAAACGTTTTCAAGCCATAAGTTAAGGATCTCTATGGATTTGTCAATGTTGTGGTCACTTCTCAACCTGCAACAATTCGGTTTTAAATTTCGCGCGTAAAGGTGCGTTGACAGGTGACAGGTTATGTTATTGTTTGTTTAATCTTTTATTTACTAACCACAGAGAGATGCGACTTTTGGGGTAGTTAATGTTTTCTATAAGCGAAAGAAAATAGGGCAGTGTATGGGCTTTGTTCCTTATTAGAATGGCAATCACGATAGTAGGTTGCTTTAATTCAGAAGAAAGAGAAATTTCGTAGCAACTAAACATAAATAAAAATAAAAACACAATTTTGTTCATTTTTTATCCACTACTGCTTCCCGTTACTGTAGGAAATTGTTCACATCGTTCAAAAAAACAGCTGATGCTAACCCCAAAGTGCCACATGTGACTTTTTTGTAACCGCCCACAATTAGGGCGCCAAATTTGAAATATGCCTCCATTAGGTTACGGTTTTTAAGATCAGGAAATATAAAGATTCAGTCCATTCCTGGTTCAGTTGCAACAAACAAGTGGGTTTAGACAATCCAGGGTCTCTTGGCATATCTGGGTCTTCTAAGCTTTAAAACTCAATGGAAGCCAGGTTAGGAAAATCACCGGTGCCCTTCTCCGGGGCACTAGATCGCGTTACAACATTGGACTTGTAGGAGAGCCCACGTGCGAGTTCTGTGGAGAGGCAGGTTAAATCCAAGCATGTAGTCTGTCACTTGATCAAAGACAGACATCAGCTCCTTGATGACAGAACCGCTGAGGGTGAAGCAACTGGTTGAACGGGCTGTCCTTATGTAAAGAAATTTGTAATCACCCTGTACAGAGAGTGCAATCCCTCCCAAACAGCGTGTTTCTAACCTAACTTTTAGTTCATATTTTTATTAGTTTATACTTTTTATTTGTTAGAAATTTATGCCGGTAGTGATATCCTTTTTAGATGATTTTTGAGGATGACAATAAATATTCACTAACAAGAGCCAGCACGTAGCTATGATATGCGATTTACAACTTTATTCAAAAGTATGAGAATTTTGGCGACCCGATTAACGTCCAAAACATGCACGAGACAATTCAACGATATTTCTTTCGAGGACATTTCCGATATATCTCCCACTGTAATCAAACGAGCGCTTAACTCACACAAGCTTAGTTACGAAGAGGGCCACACATGCTTTCTAATTAACTGCCCCGTATGCCAGCGGAAGGCCAAATCGTTGAGCAACCCCAAACTTTTCATTAACAAAAAGACAGGTAAGGTGTACTGGTTACGTTAGCAATCTATTCGCTTTTTCGTAGGAGCATTCCAGTGCCCTTCGTGCATGTCCTTCGGCCAGTGGAATTCCCTCGAGTCTTATGTTAGTACGAAGCGGAGTAAAACGGCCGGGAAACCTACGTTGACTTCGAACTTGGAGGTCGTGTCTCAGTACCTTAAGAATATCGAAAATACCACAATACCCTTAAGTAACTTTTCCGAAGGAGACTTTGTCAAAATCTGCAAGGAATTTCAGCTTCCGGTACTCATTAATGTTCTATGAATCCAGGAGGCAGTATCAGAAGGTGTGCCCTTATTTCTACATTTTTATTTAATTGTGGAAATCAAAATCAGAATAGTGTGTGGCTCATTTTCGGTGCGTTCACTTTAATATAAACATTAACAGGTTGATAGAATAGGGGCACAATTTCTGTAGCTGCCTCTTGGGTTATATCTCAACTTGATTAACGGTAGATATCCACAGGACGTCTCATACTCTTTGCTTCAACATATCTCAATTAGAATAGACTTAGCCCACACGAACCTGTATTTCCCGCTTGAAAATGCGTTGTCGACGACCGTTGGTTATCGAATACTGCATAAAAAGCAAAATGGGCAGATAACGCCGAAAGTGGAGCCTTTAGTCGAATGTGAAGGTGTTTTGGCAGGTAAATCGACTAAGGTCAAAGACACCGCAGTTGTTGTGCCTAACCTGTCCGATTTTCTAATACTGCTGAACCAAAGATTATCCAATTATATAGTGTGTTTACCTAATGGTTTAATAAACTTACCGCAGTACATTTTACCTAGCCTGGAGAGATTTAGTAAATTGATTCTGTGGTTCGGTAATGACCTAAACTCCTGGGATTCAGCAAGAAGCTTTGCGAAGAAATTAAACGAGAAACGATGTCTATTCGTGAGGTAACCCGGTGTTTTGTTTTCATCTCGCACAAATTTTAAGGGTGTAATTTTAGGCCAACAGAAAATCAATTGTTACCTCATGATGCAGTCGAGAGGGACTTCAAGGCAATTGTCGCCGCGGCCAAGCCTATTTGGCACAAATCCATTACTACATTTTCAAGTTTGCGCGAAGATATTTTGTCTGATTTGCAAAATATTGATAAGGTTATTATCACATGCGATTTAATGATAATGTAATCGAAAAGTTTGTAGGTGCACGGTGTCAAATGGAAGCGCTTTCCTACGTTAACTCGTATTTTAAAAGGTCATAGAAAAGGGGAGCTAACTGTGATAACTGGCCCAACTGGTTCCGGTAAAACAACTTTTATTAGCGAATACTCGCTTGATCTTGCTATACAAGGTGTCAGTATAAGTCTACTTGCTTTAGTTAATTATTAATTTTGACTGTGCAGGTTAATACCTTGTGGGGAAGTTTTGAAATAAGAAATGTCCGTTTGGCTAAAACCATGCTACAACAAATGGTTGGTTTACCTTTGGACAAAAATTTGGAGAAGTTCGATACGTTTGCGGACGAGTTTGAAAAGCTTCCAATGTATTATATGACTTTTCACGGACAACAGGCGGTCAAAGTAGTAATGGAGGTACTATTTCTCATGAATTTTTTAACAATTATCAAAAAATCCTGATCGTCATGGGGGAAATTGCTGAAAATATTATGTATACCTTCTTACAATGTACCTTGTACCCTCCAGCGGTGGTTATTTAGCTTCCTAGCGCAGGCTAGGTGGAAATTTTCCAAGGTATATTGTCACCACCTTTACAGTGATAGTTTTGATACAAGTATTTTTGGCTAGAATAGATATCAGTTTCAGGGGATGATTTATTGGGGTTTAACTGCATAAGCGAGATGATTTGGGGTGTAGCCGAGGGCGTAGCGGTCATTTATTTTGTAAGCTGGAAATACCAGTTCCAGTAATCTTATATTTCATTCAATGTTGCCTAATTAATTTATATACAGGGTGTTTGTTATTGCAGAAACTAGCGGGATATCAAAAATGATATACTTATATGTAAGAGCCGATTTAATGATGCTATGCCCGTTATCACATAACTTAAAGAGTCAAGTGTAGGACAACTTATTTTTTCAAATAGAAAAAAATATTGAATATTCTTATTCTACATCGGAAAATAATAAACTTTCGAGAGAAACGGTTATCCCTACATTTACAATTGTTTGAAGACACTTCTAAAAGTGCTATTTTTGATTTGAGCTAGGAACTTGTTCTGTCAAGAATTTGGCACATTTTTTGTTGAGGGGTTCACCATCGAAAACTGCAAGTAGACAAATCATTTACTTAAGACCGAAGAGTGCCACACAAAAAATACATGGTTTTCAAGTAATAAACTGAATGCAACTAATAGTATTGTCTGTGCCATCTTATGGATGTATATCGTAATAATAAGCTTATCGTTCACTGTGTCGGTTACAGTCTGAGACATACTGCAACTTGTTAGAAAAGGATGGCAATTTGCAACTTGAGTCTGCAGTGCAGTTTATATCACCGGTTTTGCATTTGCATTAATTTCTCATATGTCATTTGACAGTTCTCGTTTTAATTCTCATGTGCAACTACTTACATTTTACTTGAACAACCTCATGTTGCTGCCCACAGACACAGAATAACTGGTACTGTTTCTATATACAGGGTCGCTGGAAACGGTCGATTATCTGGGAAAATATACTAGTTATCGAAATATGTTTTATACAAAAGTTTTGGGGTTCTTCAAATTATAGACAGTAATAATTTTAATTATACAGGGTCGCTCATAAAAGCGCGACACACCAAAATTGCATTTTTTAAATAGAACACACTGTATATTATTCAGCAAAATTTGTAATGAGCATAATGTACCTAAATTCAATAGTTTCCAGGTTATCCAGTTTTGAAAATAAACGCTATTATTTTAAAATTCATTAATAAGAAAAATTAATGATTCCAAACAAACTTCACAAACTATTCGTTTCAGAATCACAGAATGATTTTAAAAGAAATTCGTTATTATAATTATTGTTCTATATTCAATACATTTTAAAGCAATACCTTTTATTTTCCAAACTCGATAACTCGGAACGAATTGCATTTGAATACATTGCTTACAAATTATGTTCAAAATTGAGAGAAGAATTGAAATATCGAATAATATACAGGGTGTTCCATTTAAAAAAATGCAATGTTGGTGTGCCACGCATTTATGACCAACCCTGTATAATTAAAATTACTACCGCCTAGTATAAATTAAAGAACCTCAAATCTTTTGTATAAAACTTTTTGATACCTTGTATACTTTAACATTATGTGACTTATCAAAAGCATTCGACTGTGTTAATCACAAGATATTGTTATCAAAATTGGAGCACTATGGAATTCGCGGAGTTCCGTTACGTCTTTTACAGTCTTACCTAGAAAACCGAAATCAAGTAGTCGAATACAATGGGCAAAAATCACAGAATAGGACAGTTTTACATGGAGTGCCACAAGGGAGTCACCTAGGACCCACGTTATTTATCATTTACATTAATGATCTGTTTTTCAATCTACATCACTGCTATACTGTGTTGTATGCAGATGACACTACCATGATTATCAAAAGCAACGACATGCTGGATCTTCTGCAAAAACAAGCGATTACAACTAGTGCTACAAAAGAATGGTTTAATTCATACATGTTAAGTTTAAATGAGGGCAAAAATCAAAACATTGTATTTACGTTAAGAAAAAAAACAACTATTGACAATAACAACAGAGCTTGTGTTAAACTTCTTGGTGTGTATATCGACTCTAACTTGCAGTGGAATGAACATGTAACGAACCTGTACTCTAGATTATGCTCGGTAGTGTATGTGATAAAAAAAACTAGCTCCAGTATTAGACATAATATCTTTAAGATCTTTGTATCTCTTCCATTCAGTCATGTCTTACTGCATAATAATATGGGGCAATTGTTCTTCAGCAAACAGAATCTATTCTTTAAAAAAAAGTTTTAAGAATCTTAAATCAAGTAAATCCATTGGAGCACTGCAAACCTTTGTTTGTTAAAAGTAATATACTATACTGTATTCATTTTAAGAAGGTAGCGGTAGAAAGCATAGGGAGGCTTTGACCTTCACTGTGATTGGTTAAAACACGAGTCAGTATTACAATGAAACATAAAACGACTGGTGAATTTTGTAAAGTGGTAGTTTAT